CCAAATAAGTCAGCCAAAGTCCATGCTTCCAAATCCAAGGTGGCCTTCATAGACATGGTTAGGTGCATCCATTCAATTCCAAGGCTCTTCAAGAACAGAGAGTTGTTGTCCTCTGCCGTTCTCATTACTCCATACCTTTTGCAGTTKCTAATTAAGGTGTTTAATCTGGAGTATGTGTCCGACAGGGATTCACCCTCCTTAGCCTTGAAGCTGTGGTATTCATCAATGCAAATGGCTAGATTGTTCTTGAGTGTTTTCTTACCTCCTTCAATCTGTTTTTCCAATTCTGCCCAAATATCCATGGACAGTTGGCAGTGATCAATACATTTAAAGATCTCGTGAGGTATTGCCATGATTAACAACCTTTTGCACTTGCTGCTCAATTCAACCAGTATCTTGTCTTCATCACTTCAGTTAGCAATAGGTCTTGGCTCGTAATGCTCAGGAATTTCAGGGGTTGTGCCAGTAGCTGGAATTATTGGAATTAAATTCATTGGCACATAAGGAGGATTGTAAAGAAATTCACATATTCTAGGGTGAATTCCCTCTAAAAAGTTGATCATTCGCACCTTCCATTGCGGATACTCCTCACGGATAAGCGTGGGAGGTTTTGATTCAGAACCAGTGCTCATGAACGAGCTATTGGCCAAGTTCGCCATTGAAATTAGAAGAAGAAAAAATAGGAATAAGATGAAGCTGATTTAAAAGAGTAAAACAGGGTAACCTGAAGAAGACTGGTGTTCTAGAAAATGCAGATTAATACCAAAAACAGAATTAATCGAATAAGAATTCAATTCCCGCTCTGATACCAATTGATGGACCTGTAAATTCAGCTTTGATATTGATCTATTACTCTGAATGAACTCTAGGACGATTACAGTGCAGCGGAAACAATGATAAGAACAKAACAKAGTAATTAAACCAAGAACACACAGTTAATATGATGAAGAAGATGAACACAGGAAAATAGCTTCAAAGGTTTTTCAATTCATTCAATTGAAAAAAGACGATTACAATTCGGAAGCACACTGAATACAAAGGCCTAAGCTGCTATTTATACTAGACCCTAACGACCTTACTGACATGATCTAGAAATTGAAATCATCTAAGCCGTCCAAATAAAGTCTATTAAAATCTAGTAACGTGAGAAGCACATGCAGCTAACAACCTTTGAAAAACATCAGAACAGGATCTTCACAGAAGACGAATCCGCAGACCCTCTGTGAGCCATCTCAGAGGCTCTGCTGTAATTGACTTGTATGATCTTATTGCCAGAGGACCATTTTCCAGAACTTCTGTGAGAGACATCAGAGGTTCTGTCATTCTTGACTTGCACGATGAAACAGCTTCTGATGCTAGTCCTCTGTTGTCTTCTGTGGAAGATACCCTTCTGTCAACACTTGCAGAATACTTTTTCATACTTTTACATTAAGTGAATATTAGAGCTAACAGCCTGGCTTCTGTCTCTTGTAATATGAATATTTTTGGTTTCTTTGGAAAGGATAATTATAACATTGCAGGACTGCAGGTGCATAAAACTATTTATTGTAGAGTGGACATTGAGAGGCAGAAAATAGATGATGGAAATTAGCACTTACTTACTTTTGGAAGTTCCCAATATTGTGCAACTGAGTATCAAGGGTATTTGTACTTTTGATCTTGGAAGAATATTAGCAATTTTTATCAGTTATGTTCCATTAGTACTTACTGCTGCTAGCTTGCAACTGGGTTTGAATTATAATAATTAACCACTAACAAAAGGGTTGGGAGGAGCCAGAATTTGTGGATCAGACTTGTTTTTAATAAAAGGTTGATGGTCAACATGGTTTTCCTTTTGCTCATCAAGTCTGTAGATTATTTATTCAGATTATCTTGTATGCATTCTAAATAGGTTGTGTTTCATAATAGCTCTTCTTTTTGCTCTGGTGCTATTTTTGTTGTAATATGTTGATGTTTTTTTGCCTAGATTAACTGAAATTTTAATGATCTTGCTTTTTTGTGCAGAATGACACGTGGAAGGCTTCATCAACCAATTTGGAGGATATCTACTGCAAATACATAAATGCCTGGTATGATGAGGAGGATGAACTAAATCTTTTTTCTGTCTGTTTTTTTCTTGATGGATTGTACTTGGATAATAATTATAGAATCTCGTAATAAAATCTTAATAACACTCCACATTCACCAATTGAGGAACAATGTGACTACCATATTTTCTTGTTTTCTGCAATTTAGATTGTGTGTGATTGTTGATCCTAACAACACATTTTTGTATTACATTTGAGCAACTTATCTGATTTCAACGTAAGGGGTACAAAGCAAAGAGATTTGTAAGAGGAAAATTGATATGTTGAAAAGTTTGTATTAAAAGCAGAAAGGTCTCAAATTTGGAAGAGCCATGTGCTTTTCTTTGGGAGGGGGTTTATTGGCATTTGAGAAAGGTGTCATTGGAATTAAGGAAATTGATTTGTAGGTTAACATGAGGCTATGGGAGAAAGTGTGTCAAATTGACATATCCACAATTTCAGAAAATGACAATGAAGGGGATATCTTTAATAGGGGCTGCATAAGAAGGAGAAAAGAAGAAATGGGAAGAATCATAGTGTTTCTTGTGAAAAATTCAGATAGAAAGTAGAGGAACAAGGGACAAGTATAAAAAAGATGAGGGTAGTTTGAATACAAAGAATGTTTTTGAATGGAATTGGCAAACAAAGGGAAAGAAAAGAAGTAATTATTAATCGACCTCCATAAAAATCAAGTTTGGGATTTGAAGATGCAGATAGAATCGGAGGAAGAAGGAAGATTTACGTAACCTTGCACGTTGTATTGGATTGACAAAATGCTAAGGATGTGACCTTTTGGAGGAACTTATTCAAAGCCTTATCTTTGCAAACAAGAAAGGAAGAGCGAATAGTTGATGGAAATAAGATCTTTGTTGTGGGTTTTGCTGTGGTTCTTTCCTTCTAGTTTTGTCTAGTTAGGAAGAGGCTTTAGTGGGTCTTCTATTTCTCCTTGTTTTGTCAGATGGTTTTCACGACAACTCCAATCTTTCAGTGAATTTTTTTCACCGTTCCAAATCAAGAAAATTAAAAAAAATGAACTTCAATCAAGCTACCATTCATGAAATTGTTCAGCTTTTGACAATTTTTATGCGAAAATTCGGCCTCAGACTTGTATTATCTCTTAGTATCAAGCTGTTGATACTAGATAAAGGTAACTCCAAAAATTTCTTTGTCCCCAACGCCGCTTAATTTCAAGGAATTAGAAACTTCAAAAGTGTTTTATGGCTATACGGGCATCCAAAGTACGAACGAGATGAATGTTTGTTGGTTAGAACCTCTAAGGGGTCCAAATGGGTTGGACTTGAGTCGGCTGAAAAAAGACATACAACCTTGGTCGTTCCACAGAATATATGACTCATGCTGACGCTTATGGATCCCACCAACCTACTATGCATTTTAAATTGTCATGGAGTGACCAGTAAGATATAATTATAAAATCCTTAAAATGCTCTTAACTAATATTTGAAGTTAAAATTACCAAAAATTATTAATTTTCTAATTTAACCTTTAATTTATAGTTAAGATTGAATTTCATGGTTACCACAAACAAAACAGTTCTCATTTCATTAGACCCCTATATAAATAATATATCATAGTGTGATGTTTAGAACCATGTGTTAATTTCCAATCATCATCCTTTGTTATTGAAGCAATTAATATTTATGAACTAAGAGTGATATGTACATATGGAGTACCAAATAGTTAGGAATATACAACTGACATTCAGGAAGCCTTCCTTGATTTTAAATAGTTTCAGCAATTTGTTTGGTCTTTGGATTTATTATGTAAAGAAACTGTCGTCAAATTTATCTAAAAGCCTTTGTATTCATTGTTTGTGGGTAGTTTGTTTTTTACCTTATGTGAGAAGGGGGTGATTTGGCTCTATAAGCTACCAAATAGCAATAAGCCTTTCATCCAAATGGATAGCGTAGAAAGAGAGAAAGGCCACGTATCATAGAAACACTCTCGTATAAGAGGTAAAGTCCATATAGGTTTATTTCAAAATGTGTCTTAGTTTTGCATTTACGATGTCTTGTTGAAGCCATATATTCTTATTCCCATCTCACCTGTTTGAGCCTTTCTGTTATGCAGTCAGCACACTGGAGTTGATATTGGAGAAGCTAAAAATGTTGGAAAAGATGTAGGCATTGTCCATGAGAAAACCACCAAGTCCAAGAAGAAGAAGAGTAGCGTTGAAGGCAACAAGGATGCTACCAAAAACCAATCGAGAGCCACCATGAGTCATTGTAAAATTCTGGAAGATCATGTAGTTGCTGAATCTGAAACTAAAGCAAAAAAGAAGAAAAGCAAACATGATATAGCCTCATGTGGTGAAACTGAAGAAGCATCATCTGCACCAAAGAAGCCTGTAGATGATACTATCAATGTGGAGGCAGATGAAACAAAGAAAAAACCCAAGGATAAGAAGAGAAAGAGTAATCAACAAGAGGCATGCACTAAAGTAAAACTGATGACAAGAGACACTGAAATTGGAGTTGTTCATCCAGATGTGGTGAAGGAAGAAAAAAGAGTTCTAAGAAAAGGAAACGATTGTTGTCTGATGAAAATGAAGACCAGCCTGCCAAGATGGAAAGTAATCAAACTCTTGAAGAATCTAAAGGACAAAAGAATGAAGCTTCTAAAGAAGACAAGGTTGATGAAAGTGGTGCACGTGGAACATCTGATAAACAGATCAATGAATTCGGAAATGAGAAACCAGAGATTAATGGAGGAGACAAATCTGGATCTCAGGAATCAGTGAAAAAGCAACGTATTGGTTCAGCAGAGGTTTGTGTACCTTTTCTTTTCGTGATCTCATAAAACATCAGTTTACTGTTTCTTAATGAACTGCCCTTGATCAACTGAAACTTTTTGCAGGTTTGGTTTCATGAGAAATCATATTTGCTAAAAGAAACCTTCTTAATTGATTGTGTTCTTTGCAGCCAAAGATGATAAATGCATTTCAAAGAGTGAAAATTGATCAAATGGAATTTGCTCATGAGAAATTGCAAGATAATTCATACTGGCGAAGGTATGATGTATACATATGCTCAGTTTTTTGAAATTATCACGGTTAAAACACGTAAAGACCGCCCATTCATTGAGCCCATGTTTCTCTGTTTCATGCATTTTGTTTTCTTTTAGAAATGATTCGCCAAATGAAAACGAGTAATGGACTCATTGAATGGTTATTTTATATATACTTATGTTTATATTACACACTGCAGGATGGTGCGAACGTTGGATATGGTGCTAAAGCACAAGAAGTTCTTGGTCAAGTGAGAGGGAGGTACGTCTCAGCTTCTTGAAGCATTTATACATGATAAATCCACATGCGTGCGTGCACACACATAATTTCAGTTGCAAGAAAGAAAAAGAGAAAATGTTATGTGCATGGTTCGACATTTGGTTTGATTTTAGTCATTCTGTGTCTTTTCATGTACGATATTTTCTGTAATAAGAAGACATGTGCGAGGATTAAGATGTTTGTGGACCTTACCTATGTCTCAAGACAGAATGACTGTTTCTGGAAAATGCACATAATTGTCATTTGCAAACCTGTGGACCTGCTACGATTTGAATTAGGCTCATGCAAAAAAAAAAAAAAAAAAAGAACAAAGAATAGGAACTTTCGGAACTCTGTTAGATCGAGTGAGAAATAAAAAATTCATTACACTAAATAGAAACTAAACCATGACTTTGTTACATTTTGATGCATTTTATATTAGTTTCAAGTGTATTAGATTTAGAAAGTTGTTGGGTTTATGTTGTATGTAGGGATTTTCGGCATGAAAAGACAAAAAAGAAGCGTGGAAGCTATAGAGGAGGTCAAATAGATCTACATTCTCACTCGGTAAAGTTCAATTACTCCGATGAAAAGTGAGTGATCTCAAAGATATTGCTAGGGTAATAGTGTTCTCACAAGTGCGTTTCTTGAAACATTGCTGCTTGCATCATTGATCAATCCTGTGCTTTTTATGTGAGAACTTGGATGATCAAGATTGAAGTAATGTTATGTATCCACTAAAATTTTGATCCAGACTTGATTTTATTATTGGAAAAACCATTCATTTATGTAATCCAATGCTACTCTTTGTTATTGCAAATTTTGTAACCTTGGAGATTTTGCTTTAAAACCTTTTTCATTCATGTTCTTCCGTCTCCTAGAAAATTGCAAAACCTTTTTTTTTTTGTGTGTGAGAGCTGTCTTAGGGTTGTTTGGCAATTGTAGAATGGTTAAGTGGTCAAAATGCTTAAGAGTCTCTGTATAATACTAGTTGTGTGCCTGCGTAATGCGGTGGGAGCCGTGAATTCTAATGATTTTGAAGTTTCACTGGTTTTATTAGAGAAGATTTAACGATAATATAAGTTACACTTGGTCTTTACATATTAATACAATTTGAATAAATAAGAGTTATGGTTCCAATTATACTCTATCGATGAAAAAAAATTGTATGACAATTTAAAATCCATTATATTTAAAATCCAACATATTTAAACGACTCTAAATGTGTTCAATTTACACCAAGAGCAAAGAATAAAGAGATTGAAAGCGAGACCGAAAGTTCTAGAGCAATTGAATGAGAGATTAATGAGAGAACTTTTAATAACTCATGATGAGTATCAGTTTGAATCTCACCTTGGGGTATGGGGAGAAGTCATAAAGGTATAGAGGGTGAAGGGATGAGTGAAAGGTGTTAAAAATATCTTGGGAACATGAAAAGAAAAAGTAACAATATGCATTTGTAACTGGTACTATATGTTATTTTAATTGTAGATTAAGAGATTTTAAGACTGAATCCATAAAATAGTAGTACTTAATGCATTATGAGTTGTTTTTAAGACTTTGTGCATTAAAATTTTTTTTAAGCCTTTTGATAAATCTAGTTTATAAGGTAGTATAGATACTACAGAATGAAATATAGTTGTTTGGTGATTGTTCAATGGATAGTCTGAATGACAGAATTACCATTTTAATCTTTTGTATGATTTAGTTCTGAATGAAATATAGTTGTTTGGTAAATATCTGAATAAAACAATTACTTTGCAAATATAACTACATACACAATAATACTAGTTCATAACAACATTTCATCACATGCATAACATTACTATTTCATGTTTAAAACTCGATCACAATTGCAAAGAAAGTTAGAAAGTTACAATACCCACATCACCATCAATTTTAACAAAGAAACATCAACATTAAACACGACAAGAGAAGGGGCTTGAAATATATTGGTAGTTAAAAACCAAGCTACATAAGTTATCAATATCAATTTAAGAAGCACATTTCCATTGTTTTATCTACTTCTAACTAAAAGAAGATGTAACTACCAACAAGATAAGGTTTTCGGGGGAGATGCAAGTTCAGCGAGCACAATCGAACAAAAGAAACATAAATTCATCTCTCAACTACATATAAACTAGAGAAGGGCATCATGATGGATAATATTTATGATGAAGCACCACAAGGTAGACAATTATATCAAGCTTGCAAGCTTGCAATACCCAATTCCTTTGTAAAAATGTACATCCTCCTTAATGATGCTCCATGCAAACTCTCTGATTTTCATATCATCCAATAAGTTTAATTCAAAAGAGGAGGCCATGATTAAGCAAGAATGCATACACATCTGTGTCAATGGCACCTAAATAAATCAAGGACCATATAAAACCAAACTTCAGATGGTGCTTGAATGTAACTTTGAAAGAAAAAAAGAGATCATGTAAGTTAAGGAACAATGAAATCCAATTGTAGATGAAGAGATAGCAGTATATCAATATCGAAAACATCAAGTAACTGAGCATATAAAAAACCACAAGGAATAAAACCTGAAAATCCAATCGAAGTGGGAAAGACTACTATATGAATTGGAGACGAGGAAAATGTGCAGATTGAGGAAGGCTCACCTTCCTGAGTAACCACTGTCACTCTCCTTGGAATCTTTGAAGGTGGTTAATCGATTTCCAAAAACAGATGACATATTGGAGAGTGATTGAGGTAAGGGATTAGGGAAAATATGGTTGATTAAAATGCAAGGATAAATCCAAATTTGTGAGGATAAGAGATATGATGAGATAAAAGAAGAAACTAGGGTTACATAGAATGGGGGTTCAAAGTAGAAAAGATGAAGAGGAAGATCTTGGGAAATTTTAGGCCTTGGATGGTTGAGAGAGACCCAAGACAGAAAATTGCTCAGAGGTATATAAAACCATTTAGAGGTAGATTTTTTTTTGCCAAAAAAGATTTATTTATTAGCGATTTAGAGGTTGCCTCTTAATGGAACCATTAAGAGGCAACCAAATTGCCCCTTAGTGTCATTTTGCAACTGTTGGTCTCTACCATATATTCTTTTTGGAAAACGAAGTGTGGCGATGATTTTTTTCTAAATTAGTGTGAAAAAACTTTTAGTTCTTTCTATGTGTAACCAAAATTATTAATTTTTTGTTGTGTTATATGGTTACAAATTGATACAAAACCCAATAATAACATTGACATATGGCTTACTTTATGTTTCACCATAGTTGATGAAAACGAGTCTCCCCCGTCAACGAAATGTGTTGCATTGGATATGGAGTCTATCCATGCTTTCTGTGATTTTGGGTTATGACACATTATCTTATTATGAGAGTTTTGATGATCGAGTCTTATTTATTTATTTTGAAAAGAGAGAACCTCTAAGAATATTCTTTTTGAGCTGACGGGATTGCTCATGAGTAAGCGATATCCCATAGAGGGTGCTAAGAGATGGGATGGACATGTCCTTAGACATCTTGAGACACATGGTATAACTATCCCATTATTCTGGCAAAACATTCTAAGAAATTTGTCAGTGTCTTAAAGTTGAATATTCTCTTCCATGTATCCTAAGATCGATAAGAAGACAATTAAAACGTTGATGTACTTCAGACAAAGATTCAGATTTTCCACAGAGAAACTTTCATATTGTCTTACTAAGTTTATCTTCCTCGATTCTTGTACGTTTGATGTACCTTTACATTGAACATAAAGAGTGTCCCATATGGATTTCGAGGTTCTTCGCTTCATAACAGAGTGATAAACCTCATTAGGAAGAGACATGACTATTATAGATCTAGCTCTAGTATCTAAAGTCACTTCTTCTTGTCTTTGTCACTCCATTGATGAGGGAGTTTTGTAATCTGCTTCTCAGGTATAGCGGCATTCTTAGCAGTTGCGGGAATTGCTGGAGATATTGCGAATGGAACATAAGGTCCATTCTCAATATAGTATGGAATCTCAGGATCCACACCTTCTAAGAAAAGAGACATCCGATTCTTCCAAAAATTGAAGTTGTCTCTGATGAACCGGGGATGTTTGGCAAGAGAGCCATTATGGTGGAAGTTGGTGCTTGTGTTTTGATACTGTTGGTCCCATTAGGGTATACAAGATGTGTATTACAGTTTGTAGAAGGGGGGGGGGGKGAATACAAACACAGTAAACTTTTCAAATTTAAAATGTATATTGATAAAGAAGGATCAATACAAATTTTATAAGATTATATGCGGAAAGATAAGGTAAAGATAACCTATCTAAACAATCTAAGATACACACTAATTCTTAGCAAAGAGAAATGATTTGTTGTTTAAAACTTCGAAGAAAGTAAGTTTTTCATGGGTAAGAACTATTTAGAATACTAAAAAGGGATTCTAACTTGCTTTTGAAGATAAGCGTACTGTGTTCTTAGATGTGTGTTCTTTTACGTATGAACATAAGTTAGGGTTCAAAATTTAGAGTATATATCTCTGCATGGAGATAGAACACATCTATATATACGCAGTGCATTAAATGCACATTTAATGCAATGTAGTAGGGTTTGAACACGCATCAAGCCTTTAGAGAAAGACTTGTCCTTTGCTACAGTGAATAGTACAAAAGCATATTCATGAGCAGACATCCTTTCATGGAGTTGGTGGGTAGTAGAGTCAACTAATCAGCTCCGTACCGTACTATGCTCTAGAAAGGGTATGGGTTTTTCCTTTGTGTGTGTAAGGACAAGACAAAAACAATCGTGCTCAACAAGCTTCTTTTGATCGCTGAATGCTGGAATAACCTGAAGGTCTCTTCAACATTCGCTGAGGTTTGTGCAATCTTCACACATGTGTAGACCAGGTTGTAATCACTGAATACCGCTTCAGATCATGAACTCGTCAGTCTCTAATCTTCATTTTCAGTCTTCGACTTTCATTGAAAGTTCTTTGGTGTGAGTTTTGTTTTCTTGAAGTATTGCTGTCGCTGATGGATTTACATTACATGTTTTCAGCGATCACTGAACAGACTCAGTGATGATCGCTGGAACTGAAAGACAAAAACATAAATACTTCGTATAAGATAAAAGGGATTATCATCAAATCACTGAGAGGGAGGATCAACAATCTCCTCCTATTTGATGAGCTTACGGTTTCATGTTCTATTTCACTCCCTGATGGGGGTTTCAAATAACAGTAAGAAAAAGTTACATATAAAGTACATGTCTTTTTTAACTGTTTTGGGATCTTTTTCAGTGAGTTAGTCTTTACTGGATGGAGAAGTCATCTTCATGATCATCATCATCATCATTGTCGTCATCGAGGTTGCTGCTAGAGTCAGGGAGGTCAGGAGAGTCACCTTCCTCATCATCATCATCATCTTCATCTTCATTTTTCACATCACCAAAAACAGGTGTGGAGGTGATGGGAAGTTTATCGTTACGATCTTCAGCTTGAACGATATCAACTTCCTCAGTTATAGCAGCTTCACTGGAGGTTGGGATATCACAGACAAACTCAGCTTCAACTTCAGCTCTAGGAGCTTCAGCTTCAACGTCATGGGTTGTTAGAGCAGCAGGTTCAGCAAGGGCGGCATCAACAGATGGTCCAGCAGCGTTAGACCTTGTCTCCCCCTCTCTGGCGATGGCTTGAGAGCATAAGCCAGAGAGTTGGTCGACGATGTGGAGTTGAAGTACCATCATCTCTTTTAGCCTGGAAAGAGCACTGGCTAGGCTATTCGTCGCTTCGTGCGCTTCATG